AATAGAATCTCACTACTTTTTGTAGAATCTCCCGATTTTTTTTTCATGAATCTACAGATTTTCCTTATTAGGGGTTGGCAGGTCTGTATGAGGAGCTAAGTACCATTCAAATAAAAGGCGGAAACATTTGGAATACTTCCAGAGATATGATGATATACATTTGCATTAATATCTTTATTTGTGCGGAGCAATTAATTAAACCTAGATTGTACCTCAAATTTTAAGATATCAAATGAGTGAAACAAGCTTTATACAAACAAAAGTGAAATGGGAAAGTACTGTAACTCATTTATATAATTTACAGAAGTCCCCTGGTGACACCAGCCAAGTGCTGATAGGGCAAGACTCCCAATCTCATGGTTTTCTGGGAAAGCAAAAGGCATCTTATAATAACAAAAGGCACATAGGGCTCAGCCGAATGGTACCATAATGACGTCAACACATATGGAAACAGGCCTTTTCTCCAAAACCTGCCCCATTCCCCTATGGCTATTTGTATTTGCGTTTACCCTACCTCACCTCCCCTCCCTATACCTGATGAAACAAGGCCTTCAACAGTTTGTTGAGATAGGATGCTTTTTGTTTTAAAGGATGAGCTCACCATATTTTATTATCGTAGAGATGGGGGTAAGATAAGTTAACAATAATAGACAGATTATTATAGGTGGGTTACTCATTTTTACAGCTATCCCTGGAAGAAGAAATGGAAGTAAGGAGCTGACTGGCAGCCACTGAGATTGAGCTGAGGAGAAAGGAAATTGAAAGAGAAGAGAAAGAGTTGAAAAGAAAAGAAGAAAGGTTAAAACAAAAAGCAAAAGAAATTAAAAACACAGTAATAGAGGCGAAGCGGGTAGCTGCCCAACTGCAACGAATGGCAGGGCAGCTAGACTGCTTGGCTAACCAAATTCTAGAAGAGACCAAAAATTAAAGAAGAAGTAAAAGAAAAACACCAGTGTAAGAAAATTTTATTGATAACAAACCGTTTCTTTTAATCAAAGTCAATGTGCAAAGTTTTTAAATGTAAACAAGTCTAAGTCAGACCTGTTATGCAAGAAAGAAAACACATTTGTTCAGTATATAAAAAATAAAAGGAAACTGGTTCTTCTAATTTCTTGTATCCTGTATGGTCTCTTCTTGCTCGATGGAATCCACTCCATCTAACATCCTCCACTTCCCACACCGCACGACTCTCTTCGTGGAATCTATTATACTAGATCTTTACAGACATCCAGTAAGCAGCACCTCCTCCATCATACACTGCTTGTTTTTTCTCATCATCTACAGAGTATTCCCAACTAAGGAAGCACCTAATTGTAAAATCAGTCAGATAAAAAGAGATTATTTATATATACAAAAGTCAAAACAAAATAAATAAAGGCAATATTATCACTTAAAATCCCTAATTATTTGTTAAGCATCTCTTAAATCAGATGTTATAATGGTTTTCCTCACCTACTTCCTAAACTTCACATTAATATAGGTGAGTTAAACCACAAACACCACCCCCGCCTCCCCAAGCAATGGTAAAAAAATATGTCTCCCTTGAATTATAAATTTTTGTAACTTCAAGCAACCTCTCAGGATAATCCAAAGACTGATTTCTAATCTTAAACCAATAGCTAAAAAGCAAGGCTATGTGAAATATATCAGCACAGGCAGTACAACAGCAAATTTTAAAGAGGGGCTTTAGAGCTATTATAATGGACCACCTATAGTCATGGAACGATTGGGTCTTTACTAAGTTACGCCTACTGAGAAATTACCTCAAAGCTACATCAGCTGGGTGATAAAACTGTACAAGCTGGGTGATAAAACTGTACAAGCAGGCCCCGAAGATTGTTGGAACTGGACAGTGTCACTTGATGTAACTGACAATAGCATGGAGTCCAAGTAAGTTAAAAAGCATCAATGATTGAAAATTAAACTGATGCCCCTGCACTCCCACTCCCAGTAGATCCCCTGCCTTGACATTACCTAATAACCATACATTGATACTCGTGTCAGAAGAATGATGTGAGAAGGATGATGATATTCATCGCATGAAAATCCTGCAATTTTTTATATCCTTAGAAGTTTTTTCCCCACCTCATTTTTAATATGCGGACGCCCGAGGAAACACATTTTCAATATTACACCATTGAAACACTTACCAGTGTCCGTTTTCTTGGCTTTTTCTAGTTTTTTTTCCTATTAACTCTGTAAAGAGATTAAGGCAAAGCTACATACCCATCCTTTCTGCGGATTCTCCTCCTGGACTCTCTGCATAAAGCCCTAAAAATGTTGATGTTGATCAAAAAGTTTAGCTCACGGCACTTTACCCCAGTGATAGATTCTGTTTGACTATGTACAGGATAAAAACCATGTTTTCCTTTGTTTGTGGGGCGAAGAAGCAAAGAGAAAGGCAATGTGAACTTATCTCCATCATGAGCAATGAATGTTTCGACAAAATGATCGTAATTTATAGTGAAAAGTTGCAATACAATAAGCTATAATAATATCCTTGGTTATCGCCCGACGATTTGATTCAATACGCTTTATTAACATTTTGATACGTTTGACTCAAACAGGAAATCCTTTCAAAACCCTTGAAGATTATAGCCCATATTCTATAAAAAAAAAAACACTTGCTTCTTACATTTGTTTAGTTTTAATGAATTGTTTACACAATTTCATAGTGTAGTATTAACATCATGACGCTATGTTTCGTGACCTGTCCACGCCACTTTCGCAATTTTTGTAAACATCCCTGAGGTTTGCGACTTTTATCCCACTGATCATTTTTGCTAACTTATTAGATGACTCACTTCTATCACTAATTGAGAGACCCGTACCATATTAACGTCATTTGTTTTTCTCGAGACTAAATTCTGCTGGGCTCTTTAGTTATGCGTCTCTAAAGACGCGCCGGTATGAGTTGTACCATCTGGTCGATCTCGGGAAGTTCTTGATTTTTTACGATGGAAATGCTCTTTCCTAGAATATATTGCAATTTTACTATATAGCATTAATAGATAAACACATACCTTCGGTCGTTTCATCGCAACGTCTCGACTTTTACCTCTTGAAACCACGAAACAATTTCGCTCGCTGAATCCATTCAAAGTTCCCGGGATAAATTCATGAGGGTGACCCGAAAACACTGACCCCGGGTCCATGGGCCCCCCTACGGACCGGGTCCATGGACTACCTTGCGGACCGGTCAGCGGACCCCCTCTACGGACCCCCTTTAAAACGCATTAAAAAATAAAAATAAACATTTGACTTTTAAACATATTAAACTGACCGTGTGCATGTCGTGTCGGCGAAAATTCGAACGCTGACTTAGACTTCCGCAGAATTAATACAGATCTGTAATATTTTGTAAATATTGCGAGGATCGGTCGAACTTCGTTCGTGTTGTTTGTGTCATTTGTGCCTCCGCCATTTTGCTCGGCCTAGTCTCCCACGTTCGCAATCACGAACTCGACCCAGGCTTCACGAAAAACCACGCGACTTCTCTCCTGCGCCATGGCTGCACGGTAAGATTCTTGAATATTAATCACCTTTATCCTTTTGTTTTTTGGGGCCATCTGCATTTATTTACACCTAGAACCGATTGCAAACATATATTTATTCCTTTTAGGAGAAAGGCGGATGTTTTTGAAATATCAAGTGATGAGGTGAGTTGATTTTAAACGATGCACTGGTTAGCCACAAATATCCGATTTTAAAATCAGTAAATAATACTTTTCGAATACTCCCCCCCGGGTCCTGACCCTTCATAAAATACCTCCCTAATGCAGGACAAGCCCTGCCTCAAAGGCTAATATCTAGCACTGCACTGAATGTTAGTACAAGGCAGTTCCTCTTATATGCCACTCATGGAGGTGTGCCCCTGGTTTTTTCTCGCATGGTTTCTTGTTCATAATGTAATGTTGTTCAAAGTAATCGAATAGCTTAAACAAATTTGCTCATAACAAAACAGACCATAATCTTTATAATCCATAATCCAGTTCAAGGGTTTTCATTTAGCATAATGATAGAAAGGCTATGGCACATAATTAATCAATTAATCAATGAAATCAGCATCTTGTTATATAACAGTAACAAATACTTTCTGGGATACAAAAATTTAACTGTGTCCTATGCAATCAGTACCTTTGAAAATCTTAAGATGGCTCTCTCTGGTCAAAAAGTATAGTGGGTTGAGCTGGAGGGAAAATGGGGTGGGTCATAAAATTAAGCGACACTTCATTAGGCCGCATTTTAAGCGATTTGAAACTAATATACAAGGAAATCGACTAAAATTTCATGTTATAAGGTACAACTACATTGACTTAGAGTTTTTTTTTTGGGGGGGGGTGGTCATGTACATTTCAGCCAGCCTTGGGGGTGGGTCAGGTCTCTTTTGGCAAGCCCCTTTTCAAAATCCTCCAGCCCACCTGACCTATACTTTTTGACCAGTCCCTTAACATGCCTAAGCTCTTTCTTGCTCTTAAATATAATTAATCAATTACTAAAAGAAAATTCTCAATGTTTGGTTATCCTCACCCTCGTACAGGGAAACAAAGGGCAGTTATAAAGTTAATCTAAATTAACTCTGAATCTATCAAGAACCAGTTGACGCAGGCTACCAGTTTCAATGAGACTACTATCTGACGTAATTGTTGATGATGTCTTCGTACAGACAGGGTTGAGGTGGTAGTGCCTCGTTGATGTTGTTAACTGCCAAGCATTGGTTGTCTTGTTAAAGAAGTGATAGCGTTCAAATCGGGCAAAACAGTACAGCTGATCATCTTCACTCTGGTACCCCACAACATGGGATTTTATAGCCTTGGAGCATCCAGCACACTTTCTGATGTTACCTGCAATCTTTTTCAGAACTAATGGCCCTGAAGGTGGAGGATCTACTGGTCTTTGAGCTCTCCTAAGAACAAGAGTTGTGGGATTGACAACTTCAGATTGAAAATTTGTACCAGTGTCCTGCACATCTGCATCTGCATCTGTGGAATGGTGCACTTCTACCTCGGTTGCAGAAAGAGGCCGTTTTCTGGATGGAGCCTTCCTCCAACATTTTTTGGGGCGGACGCTGCTGAGATTTTGTGGAGACTTCGGCCTTGGTAGGCCCCCACAATGTTCGCCACACAATTTAAATGGATGGCAATAGCCACGCAATGGTGACAAAGGTTGTTACGCCCAAAGAAACTGCAATCACATGTACATTTGCCACTCTTAAAGCACTGGACCCGGTGAGGAAGTTGTCCACCACTGTCCACAAAGTAGACACTGTCCTTAAAGCCCTGGCGAAACTGGTCATTGTTCAGAACCGTCTTGGCTTTCTCTAGGAGGCTGGATTGTTCCTCTCTGGAAAAGTGGCCACTAAGAGCAGAAAGATCGCTGAGATCACTAGCAGACTTTCTTGAAGATGGACGGGGCGTGGAACTGCACAAGGGTTGGACCTTAAAATTGCAGCACTTCTTGTAAGCTTCTGGGTCTGGGCAAAGTTTCCTGACCTTTTTAATATATGCCTTTCTCTCTTCTAGGCTCATGTCTGCATGACCCTTGCTTGGCAAGTGACACTTGAACTGTTGGCTGACTTCCCATTTGTCTGATAACTGGAACCACGCCATTTCCTCTTCCTGATCGAATGATTGTACAAAGTCATAGAGGTTGACAATGAGTCTGTCCATTTCCTGGGGAATGTACTTCATCCAATCTTTCAACATGTCGTTAACTGATTCCGGAATGTTCTGTTCGTATGGTTTGTCTCCCAAGCCAAGATCTTTCACAACAAATGCGGCCATCTTTGAACGCATGTCATCAAGCTTGTGGTCACGGAAATACTGGGTAAAGGCTGATGGACCCGATTTCTCGGACCGTTCCAGGGTGTCCCAATCAGACATGAGTAGTGTAGATTTTCTGTCAAACTCTTCTAGTGAACTGGACCAAATTAAGCCACGTCTTGGTTGGAAGAGATCTTGACAAATGCGGGACACTAATGACGAGGAGAGACCAAGCTTTCGACATTTCTCCTTAATATTTCTTTGGCTGTGAATGTAACACAGCAAAGGTGCCGCATTTCTGAAACCGGCAGCAAGAGCATTTGTTAAAGCGCGTTCGTCATCTGTGCCAGTGGCATGAAGAAATTCACTGAGACCAGGCTTTTCGCGTATAAGGCAATGAATAAATGACAGGTATGTGGACTCATCTCTGGTCATGCAGATCATTACTGGGCCTAAAAAGGAGGGGTGGTTGTTGGCTCCCTTCACTCGAAGAACTGTGTTCTTAAAACTTGTTACAAGCACATAGAAAGGACCGAGTTGAAATGTCACGTCCACTCCGAGCTCAGAGACTTGATTTACCCTTTCATGACAGCAAAATTTCACGATATTGTCCAACTGTTGGTCAGTGAATAGCATGACTGTAGGGAGATCGTTGCATACTACTTCACGGATGAAACCAGGAAAAGTTGTCTTCTGCAGTTCTAGAACAGATGCCAGTGGGTCTTTTTTAACTGATGGTTTACGAGTTAGGTATTCTACCTGCTTCAAGTTGCGTGGGATAGAACTGATACTGTCTACTTCACAGATACCACCGGCTTCCTTTCTTGCGAAGTACAGTGCCCTCTTAGGACCAAATTCCCTGGCTTTTTCGGCAACTTTTCGCTTGGTGCTCTCTTTCGATCGAATATGTGGCATATTCGAGGAGGTGCGATTACCATGCTTTTGTACTGTAAATTTTGATGGCTTTCCATCAAAATTGTAATTAAGAAGCACAAGTGGAAACCATTTTTCAATGTCCTTGCCAAATTCGATTGACACTATGGTCTTGTGATAGGATGTGTAGGAGGAACATGTGTATGTTCTTCTCTTCACCACAACATCTGAACTTGTCTGAGTGTTGACCTTTTCGAGTTCAGTCACTTTCCCCTCCTCATCTCTTATGATGGTATAAAACTTGGCCTTACAGCCTGTCATTGCCCATGAACCATTCTCATCTGAGTACAAATCTTTCCTGTGTTGCAGTGCATCAATGTCCAAGACAAATGTTCCATTGTCCTGATATCCAATGGGAACAGCTTTGCTTATCATGGCGGGATTATCTTCTTGGCAATTCATAATAAGTGGGACGACATAGGGATTATCGAGGCTCTCAATAGTTACCACCTTGCACTCAGAATTACCATTGTAAAGTTTGTAGTTCCTTCCGTTCAGTTTCTGGGGTGATTTAGACACATCAAAACGCTCTTCCTCACCATCAGATTCAAGGTTCTATAAACAAAAATCGTGTAAACATTAGATAAAAATTACATCTGCTATTTTTAATTGTGACATAAGCAATCATGTCACAAGGTGATGATGTCATAGACTCCACCAACTTTTATAATCAGATATAAAAACAAAAAGGGTATCCCAGCTGATTTGTTTAGACAGATTTGATTTTTTTTTTTTCAGCAAGACCCCAGGGGGGGAGGAGCGATACTCGCAATATACATGATTAAGAGGTCCAACATATTTTTTGGCAGGTATTTTGTTGGGTGCAAAATTTCCTCCCATCAAGTATACTGCAAGTACCTCCCCACAAAAGTTGCAAATGTGTTAATAGTAACTTTTCCATTAAATATCCACCTTCCCCACAGAAGGGATTCTTTATAAGAATTCCCCAACCCCTCACCCCTGGAATTTCCAGTTCAACCCATACATTCAGACCCCCCAAGAATTTACAATCCCTTTTGTGTGGGGGATATCGCTGAAATACACATTTAAAGTTTCACCAAGGGTAAAGCAGATGATTGGTCTGTCAGCATTTATTATTATATCCTCACTGAGTTCAGACAGATCAAGTACCTCTTGAAGACTCCACCATGCTTTGTAAACAAACAAAAGGAACAGGGGAGGGGGATTCTGTGAGATATTATATATACTCTGACTAATTACCTCCGTCTCACTCGCATTGCTGCCTATATATATGGGATGTTCATCACTGCTGCCAGAATCATCACAATCTTTGCTTGTAATAGTCAACTCCTGATGTTCCTTTAAGTCACAAATCATTTTATAAGTCAATCAATCAAGCACATTTACACCCAGCCTAATGTCCTGATACATGATTTATTACAGTCTTTCATTTCTTTAAATTTCATAAAGATAATTAATCATTTCAGTAAACTAAATGAAGGAAAATACAACAAGAACTGAAAGCTAGAAATATATATAATACAATATAAGCTTATTCAGCTGACTACCTTTGTATTTTAATTTGTTAAAAAAAATGCTATGTACAATGAATAATTCTCCCGCGTTCCAACAAACAATTGTCATGTAATCACAATTAAAATCAAACATTAAAAAAAATCCGAAAGTAGGTAATTCGCTGCTCTATTTTACTGATTTTAAAATCGGATATTTGTGGCTAACCAGTGCATCGTTTAAAATCAACTCACCTCATCACTTGATATTTCAAAAACATCCGCCTTTCTCCTAAAAGGAATAAATATATGTTTGCAATCGGTTCTAGGTGTAAATAAATGCAGATGGCCCCAAAAACAAAAGGATAAAGGTGATTAATATTCAAGAATCTTACCGTGCAGCCATGGCGCAGGGGAGAAGTCGCGTGGTTTTTCGTGAAGCCTGGGTCGAGTTCGTGATTGCGAACGTGGGAGACTAGGCCGAGCAAAATGGCGGAGGCACAAATGACACAAACAACACGAACGAAGTTCGACCGATCCTCGCAATATTTACAAAATATTACAGATCTGTATTAATTCTGCGGAAGTCTAAGTCAGCGTTCGAATTTTCGCCGACACGACATGCACACGGTCAGTTTAATATGTTTAAAAGTCAAATGTTTATTTTTATTTTTTAATGCGTTTTAAAGGGGGTCCGTAGAGGGGGTCCGTAGAGGGGGTCCGCTGACCGGTCCGCAAGGTAGTCCATGGACCCGGTCCGTAGGGGGGCCCATGGACCCGGGGTCAGTGTTTTCGGGTCACCCAATTCATGACGGGCTTTGCTCACCAAAAAAAATTATGCAAATTAGGCTAAGGGTAGATTGAATCTACCCATGGCTTATGATTAACTGAAACGAGAGATCACAATTCGCGCCTTCATACGACTGAGGTGTTACTTTGGGATCCTCGGTAATTACTTTTTTCGCACTTGCCGGCATCCAAAAACACCAGGCGTGGGAATCACGAGACGTGTAAATAAGACATTTCTTGACATAATAAAAAGGTTTTCCAGATACGGACGCGCATTTGTTGGCTTTACTCGCGTGGAGACACACGTCAACTGTTACTTCTCACGCGAAATAGTATTCAAGGCATGGCTCTACTGTAAAAAAAACCCGCTCTTTATTGATCGCACAACCATAATTATAGCAGGCGATAGCAAGAGAAATAACTATCACTCGAATGGGATAATCGAAGATCAAGAACCAAACCTTAACGAGAGCGGGGTTTATATCTGTTACTAAAGAGAAATTGAAAATGAAACATAAACCCTTTGCCGACTCAGAAAATATTTAATACGAGAAGCTAAGGTTTACCACCCGAGAAACATTTTAATGACGGCCTAAATCTATTCTTACGGGAGGAATGAAATTATTTGCAATTATGTCGATCGAACAGTATACTATCTTCTTTCTATTACTGTGTAGTCGGCTGGAACATTACACAAAACGGCGTCAGCAACGAGGTTCGATGTGATAAATTAAGTACATTTACTTACCTGTGATAAATTAATGTTTACTCAATGAGAATGATTTAATCCCAGAGAAACTACGATTCCCGAAACAGGAACATTTGGAATTCTTGGACATCAGTAACTACAACTGACTTATAACCCCATAACAGCTTCATTTTAATAGCGACTTGATTCTATAATAATAAACCGTGAGATCTAACGCAAAGCTCACAGGGCACGGCGAAGGGAAGGTAACCAGAGGGTTTGAAGTAATCTCGGGAAGTTAACCCTAAGATTCTATTTTGCTAAAGTAATGCTTTGATTTATTTAACGTACGATAATTGACTCGGTTGTGTTTTACAAACACATTTTTTTGCAACCCAAGCTTCTTAATTAAGCCAGAGAAGGGAATTTTTTGTCGTCGATTTTCATTGACAAAATCATTTGTAAGAACTAATAGACATGTGAGTGTTATAACTTTTCATTTGAAGTTTTACAGTACGGATAGCTCGGTAACAAGCGACAAGATAATTTCATTTTTACATACATATATTAGCATCGTTTGAATTTAACGAATAATACTAATAATAAAAACGTTTTGATGGTGTTATCATGATTTTGGTTAAAACAATTTTGTCACATTGTGTCGCTGAAAGTTTATCTCATTACCCAAGCAATAATTGTAACTAAAGTAAATTCTATGTGAATTTCTGAAAGAAAACTAAAGCAAATCAGTGTACACTCCATCACCTTCTGCAAATTATAGCCCTGTGTCAAAGAAAAATAGTTTTAAATCACTCAATAATGATGTTGATAATAATAGCAATAAACAATAATAATAATAATAATCCGAAACAGAACCAGTTAGTACAAAATGAAAATGATGAAAATTAGGTCCTGTCATCAGATAACAACAGCCCATAAAGAACTGACTACCCAAGAGAAACAGAACCAGTTAGTACAAAATGAAAACTGTGATGAAAATTAGGTTCTGCCATCAGATAACAACAGCCCATAAATGAGCTGACTACCCAAGAGAAACAGAACCAGTTAGTACAAAATGAAAACTGTGATGAAAATTAGGTTCTGTCATCAGATAACAACAGTCCACAAATGAACTGACTACCCAAGAGAAACAGAACCAGTTAGTACAAAATGAAAATGATGAAAATTAGGTCCTGTCATCAGATAACAACAGCCCGTAAATGAACTGACTACCCAAGAGAAACAGAACCAGTTAGTACAAAATGAAAAGTGTGATGAAAATTAGGTCTTGTCATTAGACTACCCAAGAGAAACAGTACCAGTTAGTTCAAAATAATAATGATAAAAATTGGGTTTTGTCATCAGATAACAACAGCCCATAAATGAACTGACTACCCAAGAGAAACAAAACCAGTTAGTACAAAATAAGCATGATAAAAATTAGATTTTGCCATCAGATAACAAAAGCCCATAAATAAACTGACTACCGAAGAGAAACAGAATAATAAAGCTAAATGATTTCTTTAAATTGAAGTGACCAGAAAACAGAAATACCTCACTGTATTGGGAATAATTTGACTAAAAACAACCTTACCTCAAGTCTAATATCACTAATATGTAACGAGTGTGTATAATATGCGAGCCAGCGAGCCAGCGAGTCATGCGAGTCAACATGCGAGCCATGCGAGCCATGCGAGTCAATAAGGGAGCCATGCGAGTCAGCATAAAATAACTTTGTTTTTAACGTAAACTACAAAAAAACTAGCCTCTGTAAAAATTCGCCAATATACCAATTGAACGAGGTGAAACAATAACAAAGGTTTGAGAATGCGTTAAACAAAGGTTTAAAGGTTCTTCTTCGGTCACGTTTAATGAGTCACACCATATGTGGTAAGTCACGTGACAAGAATATGAAAAAAAAAACCCACTCTTTAAAACCCAAACGTCTTGCATCTTTCACAATAAAAGCAATGCCAGTGGCTTAAGAATATCGCAATAAAAAATCTGACTTGCTAACAAGTTTAACGTTCGTTCTCAAAATTTACATTTATCGAAAAAGCTATGATGTCATTGAGGGGTATTTTCATACATTTTCTTTAACAGACTTTCTTGCTTTCGTCTGAACGCTAATTTCATGCTACAGATGTTAAAAAAGTCAAATTGCTTATGATTCGCCAAAAAATGGATTCTCTTTCCTTTGAACTTTTGCGCTTTTTCATTTCTAAAGCGGGATTGGGGACTGGCACTAGTTGCGCATGTGTAATGTCTATCAGTAGTGTTGTCTTATCTTCAGTTTCACGGTTCCCACCATGTCAGCGGTTCAAGACACGTGTGAAATAGTAACAAATAACATAACTTACCTTGAAAAAGGATGAAAAAGATGAAGGCACATAACAAAACGATATTGAAAGGAGAGCGAGGATAGCGAAAACTCGTGCCAAATAGCCAAAAGCCGCCAAAAGCCGAAGAAAGGAAAATGGACTGGGAACTAAAAGCTGTCTCGCATGGCTCACATGATGACTCGCATGACTCGCTTGACTCGCTGGCTCGCAGTTTGTCAAGACCCATCGCATGATCGCTGCCTGACTCTCAAAAACAAAAAAAATCGTACATGTACGCTGCCGTCCATTCATTTGAGCGGCACTGGAAACAAGTTTTTGCGGCGCTTTGTCACACATTTCCACATGAAATACCGGTCGCTCCTTCAAAAATTTTATCAAAGTGACAAAGGAAATATAAAATGCTTTAACGTAATGTCTTTTAACCCTGGCGTGCCCCGTCCAAATCACCGGCAGTCCGATCTGAATTTGTTTATCATGTAAATTACTTTCTACGGGTAGATGACGCGAGCTTTTATTTTTAAGATACATTTCGAATGATCAAAATCTTTTTCATTTTAAACAGAAAGGTCACGCCGCAATAAAACGGTTGCGTGGGATGCTGGCTCCTCGCCTTGCCTCGCGCTTAAATGACGCGTCTCTCGCGGATACTCGGTGTCTGGTTTACTTATTATGTTCCGGTCTTAATTAATTTTATGACACCAAGCAAACACCTTTCTATCGCGTACTAGGGCATCAATTTCCGGCGCCTGCTGAGATTTTTTTTCTTGAGCAAAGCTTCTCATGTCGTGACGTCACGATTCACCCCCCGCCCCGCCCCTGGGCCAGATGGGATTTTGAGTCCGCAAATCGCGGACTTCGGTTACACTGCGCAGAATCATGAGTAAAACCCAAGATGGCGGAGAGAAGTGGTCCAGATACGTTTCTGGAGGGAGCGAAATATGGATTAGAAAAAGTTAGAAAAGCAAATATTACACTCAAACCGAAACAAGAAGACATCCTGAAAATAATCGCTTTGACGCAGAAAGATGTTTTCGCCGTTCTCAACTGGTTACGGAAAATCGTTAATATATCAAATAATGCCACCCTTGATGGATTATATGATTATATGCATTCTGACCAAAGACCAACCCAAAAGAAGTCTATTGTCTTTGTGGTGTCACCGCTCAATGCCTTGATAAGGGATCAGGTAACGAAGTTAAAGCAGAGTGGTCTGAAAGCGTGTAGGAGAAGAAGAAGAAAGAAAAGAAGAACTAGAAGGATTGGCATTCAGCGCACTAGAAAACCTGAAGGAGTTTCAGTTAATTTTTGCTCACCCGGAAGCCCTTGTAGGCAACAAAAATGTCATTAAGCTCCTGAAGACTGCAGAGTTTAAAAATCGTATGAAAGCCATCGTTGTGGATAAAGCACATCTCGTTGTTGACTCGTGAGTGCTACATGTATAATGTTGTGGTCTATTTTTTTATCTCAGGTAATTTTTCTTTTTCTTTTGTTGTTGGGTATGGTATTGTATGCCAATGTTTTGAGATAAAGAATTATTACAACATATATATAAATATGATGTTACAGGTCAAATTTGATTTCAGGTTAAATTTTTTAACCTACGGTGATTCTCAGTTTTCTTTGTCCCCTGGCCCTAATTCAACAAAACTAAAAAAATTGAGAATCAACCTACGTTAAAAAAAATTAACGTGAAATCAAATATATCCACTCCAGATAGCATAGTTTAAAGCAGTAGTAATAATAAATGCAGAATTTGTGCAATAAAGAAAAAACTTGTTTGGATTATTCTAAAATGTTTCATTGTATGGTTCTAGGAAATAACACTACCAATCTGAACCCCATGGAGCGAAATAATTTTCCAATGGTTAAGCAGAAGGTCTATACCTATTCCTGTGTTTCAACCCAAATGAAACCTACAGGCAGAGGGGAATAAAGAGATTTTCTTGAAAAACACATTACCAGTATATTCAAAGGTATCCAGTCTGAAAGATATCCAAAAAAGTTATGGCTTATTAAGAGACTGGTACGGGTAATTTTTTTTTAGGAAGGATTTTAGACCATCCTATGGGAAGCTGGCAACAATAGGAAGCATTCTTCCACAAGTACCATTGCTTGGTCTCACAGCCACTGCTACCAAAAAGACCAGAACTGACATCATTGAGTCCCTGGGCATGGTTAATCCAGTTGAAATCCTTGGAAACCCTGACCGACCAAATATTTATTTCTCGTCATCCTCTAGACCAGACAGAGGAGAGGATAAACTGAATGAAATATTGGTCCCGTTGATGGAAAGCTTAAAGAAGGAGAGAACAAAGTTTCCTTTTACTGTTGTTTTTGGCACATTAGAGACCATTTCATCATGTTATGCCTTTTTCAGCCGAGCAATGGGGAAAGAGCAGTATGAACCTATATATGCCCTGCCCAAGGCTGAGAATAGGTTATTTACTCAATTTCATGCCCAATACCCACTTCAAGAAAAGGAAAGATGGCCTTACTTTGGGAAATCTTAACTCAGGATTGTCTTTGCAACAGTCGCATTTGGTGTTGGTCTGGACTTAAAAGATATTAGACAAATAATTCATGTAGGGCTGCCATGTATAATGGAAGAGTACTTTCAGGAGGCCGGTAGGGCCAGTAGAGATGGTCTTCCTTCAAAAGCCCACATCTACTACAATTCATACGATACATCAAAGGCAAGAAAACATTTTTCTTCAGTACAAAGAAGTGTAAAAGAGAAATTATTATGGGGTATTTTGGGTTTTCCCCTCTGCCACTTGACACAGCTCATGCATGTTGTGATTATCATGAGAAACTTTGTAGCTGTGATGACTGTGTGCTCTCTGATGTTGCATCTGTAATGGCTCCCACATTGACAGATGAAGCCCCTCCATTATCTAATGAAGATGTTTATCCTTATTCCAAACTAAACATGGAGCAAATAGCCAAGCTGAATGAAGAACCTGTTAAATTTAGATTCTCATTACCTGGACATGGTAGGACATCAGTAGGGAGTACAAGCCTGAGCAGTGGTGTTACTATAAAGTTAATTCGTGAAGTGGTTGAAAATGCACACACATTCTCTTCAGAAGAAGACATTGAAAAAAGACTTCCTATCTTTAGCCAAAGTCATGCCATTTCGATGTGGAAAATTGTTAAACAATTCCTTCAGAAAGTGTGAAAAACAAAGTCTCAAGTTGTATCATTGGTCTAAAATAGTCAGATGGCTGAGTGTAGTATTAATTTCCCATGCTGTTTTGCATCAAGCGTGGCTTCTATATCTGTTGTGTTTATACCCGGTAACAAAAATGTACTGACCATTTAATTTGCAGACAGGTTATAATATGACCAGTAAAATGTGTATTCTAATTGACTTTGTGCAAGTTGAAGCTTATCTGTTCGGTAAGAGAAGTGAGTACATTTTTTGTATTTCTTATCACAGATTCATGTGTTTGTACACTTCTTTATTAGACTTAAAAGAGTGGTCATATGATACTGATCAAGCAAATTATCAAATATTATGTTGGCTTCATTTCCCACCAACACACTACATGGTTCTTGTGAAAGTAACCCTTTCATTTGTTTGAAAATGACATATCCATTAAGCTTCTTTTCTATTGTGGTGGAGCAAACCCTTTTTTTTCCTTAACTGAGTGCATGTACACTGTTAAGAGAAAGAGTGATTGCAGGACAATGACTACCTTTAATTGTTAACCATTTTTGACACAGGATTATAAGTTCCAAAGGAAGACCTTAGGTTTTACAACGATTTCAAGTGAAATCTTTTTGTGAAATTTTATCCTTAGAAAAGAATTACAATAACTGGGCAAACAAGTGGTATCTGATGGGTGATCACTATCTTTTCTTGCTTCTGTCAGGTTTCATGGACTCTGCTAGCCAATTATAAATTCAACTGTTGATTGAACAAGAGAAATATATTATTTCAAATGTAGCTAAAGGCGACCAGACCTACATTTGTTTACTGTTATGAAAGAGCAACAAATCTATGCAGATTGTGATTTGAGTTTGTCTCAGTGCATTCCTGAGTATAGTAGACATACTAGATTTTGCAAAGTGGTGAAACATAAACCGATAATAAATTAAATAAATACAAACTTCACCATGATTGTCTTAAACCACCAATAACTTCTTTCTTTCAGTAAGCATCCATTTTCTTATTGGTTGGTTGATTAATTGCCAAGCTAACGGGAAGTCAGGCACATTGTAATTTCTGTTTGTTGCATACTAATAGCCTTCAGGAGCATTGTCACAATTTATATTGTCCTTATGAAATAACTGAGGCAAAGCACTTTGATACATTAATCATCCACATCATCTTCTTCTGGTGTGTTTTCATCACCATCATTCAATTCATTCTCCTCCTCATTGTCTTCCTCATTGCAGTCATGGACACCAGAAAAAAGCTTGCGCTTGTGGTTGGTCAGCCAGGTGTTAAGCAGTGCTACATCCAACTGGTCAAGAGGACTCTTTGTTACATTTGGAAATGATTGAAGTGTTCTACCTTTTTGGTACTGAAAAGGTTTAGCCTGTTGCACAATAGTTAACATTGCTTTGACATCTTGCGTGGTACAAGCATGAGTGTGCTTGGTTGACTCTGGGTGTATGCCACACTCATCGTCATACTGGGTGCAACATTCTTTAAGACCGTATGCTGCAGCAGAACATCTTTGGACAGCTTTCAGCATTTTGTTTCCACACAGTCCCCTAAGAGAGTCTTTGTTGTCTCCAACCAGGTGTTCCATTTTTAAATCATTTACATAATTGGATCCTTCTCCTCCCTTTGGATTTACAAACTGGCCATGTAACACTCTATGGGCAATCTTCTCTGTGTATAAACCCTTGACACAAGTTATGAATCGCATTGCCTCAAAGGCATATTTTTTCCCTCTTGGCCTACTTCTAAAATACAACAGAAGCATCTTCCAGTTAATTAGGCTGCGCTCTCCATCTCCCTCACCCTCTGTATCATTAAGCTGCATGAGCATCATTCCCAGTTGAATTACCTGCAACCCATAATAATGAGATAGCGATCTTCCTCACTGCCAGGAGGGATGTCAGAAATGTTACTGTTGAGGTTACTATTGGATGTCTGTGATGTTTCTACAGTTCCCATTGTTGGAGACCTGTCCACTGCAAGCAGATCTGTGGGCCAAAACACAACATTGCCAGGTGCAAGTATAGCAGAGGCACATTCCTCAATGGATGCTACAAAGACAGGAACATGCTTCTCTGGCACAGAAATGTGGGCATCAACTTCAACAACTTTTCCAACTGCTAGAACTTTGTAATCTTCAGATTTTTGCAGCAAAATGACAACAGAACCTGTGGAATAATGACCATAAAAATATGAATTTTACTTGACTTATAAATAATGTTGCAAAACACTATTTTCGCTTGACTAATCCAGTCCAGTGAAGTAGATTTTGAGGTGAGCTGTCCATTTACAAGATCAGAGCTGTATTTTATAAAGACAGAAAGATAGTCGTAATTATTATTCTTACTAACAGAGCTTAATAATAACTAGGGGTGCCCAACGTGCAAAGAAAGTCGCTTTTGATAGCCCATGGCTTGTGGATTTTGCTATCGGGCAAGTGAATTCTTTTCTTAACTTGCCTGATGGGCAAGTGAAATTTTTAGGACAATTCAAATTACAGAACTGTTATCAGTCGATCGATCCTGCTCATCAAAATATATTTTTGGGCTATAGTTAAAATGACTCTTGGGCAAGTACATGTTCTATTTAACTACAGCTTGCCTGAATGGCAAACCACAAAACTGACTTTCTTTGCACCCTGGTGCCTTATACCAATATTTGAAAATTTTAATAGAAATAATGTAGTTTAATACTTCATTTTCAAACACACAGCATTGTACTGTATGTTAAAGTATAGTTTATAGACATACCAGAAGAGTATGGTTGCTGAGCAGGGGATGAAATTGCAGTCATCTCATCATCATTGCCAGCAGATCTCCTTTGGTTTTCTTTCTGTTGGCATTGTTGTTCTAGCTGCTCCCGCCAGGCTCTTTCAATATCAAACTCTGTCAACACGTACTCATCAACAAACTTGCCAATTTGAATTTGCAGGCTTTCCCACTGGACTGCTGAATTTCTCTCCTTTGCAATAGAGCTTACCCATGATGGAGAGGTAGCAGTGTCTGACTTGTCCCTGCCCATGCCATGAATGCTGCACAAATGTAAGCCTTTGTTGCCGACAACATCAGTGACTCACAACTTGAGTAGTTGTCTTGAACCCTTGGTGGCACATTAACAAGTCCAAAATTTTGCCTAAAGTAATACAAGGTGCCAATGTCTCTTCTACCACTTGCAGGAGTTGGCTTGTAAAGTTGCTCCCAGATATACTATAAAAAGAATAAGCAATGTTTATTAATTGTCTTCTTGATTTATATGTGAACTCTGTCTGACTAATATCTGTTGTTTATATAGTTGAAAGGAAATTCAGGTTGCTTTCAACCTAGACTGCATGTTGAATTTCTTTAGTTTTTAAATTATAGAAATTTTAATTTAGGGTGAAAATGTTTTTTGACCTTAATGACAATTCAATTTTGGACATGGAAAACCTTGGACCTTGCACAGCTGGAAGACTGCCAGCTTCTCAAGAGGGAGGTTGTGAGTTCAAACCTCTACCAGGCTAATGCTCAGATTCGACATATAACTAAGGAAACGTGCTGCCTTGGCCTCTGGAAATGAGATTGTGTTAAAAGCAAATTATTTAAATCTTGAAAGAGTACCACCTGCATGCATTCTGAGCAGATAACTGAAGATAAAGAAATATTTTTTAAATATTTTGAATAGCTGTCCCTTGGACCCATCCTGCTATTTTCATTTTTGATTGGGAATAAAGTTACTCAGTCATTAACTTAAGTATCTTTTTACCAAACATAGGCAAAACCAGAAAAAAAAAAAAGCAAAAGACAATGGTTAAAATAAAGAATAATCAGATTATGTAATAATTAAAAAACTAACCCCTAGAAAGGATTGTTTTGCATGCCAAAGTGCAGGCGTCTCAACAATACTTTCAAATCTCTCTGCTGCACTGTCACACCCAAGTCTAGTCTTTTTGGCCCCAGTAATTCTTTCTCGTCCAAGGAGGTCTCCTCCCAGTGGCACTTAAACATTCTTGAGTACTTCATCTGCATTAACTGGCATGTCTTGGTTCTGTTAAGAACAATTCGCGAATCTTTGCATTGCTGACATCATTATTTGCCTATTTGCTCATTAGCATGAGAGTTTACCCATAGAAAATGTCAGTGTATGTAAAAGCTAGGTTCAAAAGTTGAAAGAGCTAGATATTCTGAGCAGTTTGTGCAATTTTCAGCTCTTTCACAGGAAAAAATAACGGATTCCCATTTTTTGATATTTTAGGGTATTTAAAGAATACCCACAAAAATCCCAAATTTGGAAGAGTGAGAAAAGTCCCAGTCTGGGAACTTGGTTGGGAATTCCCTGGTTGGGACTTGTCTCACTTTGCCAAATTTGGGATTTTTATGGGTGTTCGTTAAATACCCTAAAATATCCAAAAATGGGAATCCGTTATTTTTTCCTGTGTTTGCAATCATGCAGACATAACAAAGGAAATAGCCATCAAAAACTGCAAAATTTCTGGGTGGCAAAACACTATGAGCTCATACATTCCTTGCAAAATTTCAAGTTTTTCTCCAAAACTATTTGGTACATCAGGTTCAAATGTTCAAAGACAAGTGAAATTGTTATGCTCTTTCAATACTCAGCGACTATATTTTAATAGCTTGATCAGGGAATGAAAGGCATATGTTTGCCATTTATATTTTTTGAATTTTAATTATATATGACCCAGCATTGAAGTCCTTGTGGTGACATTTGATGATTTTCCATCTTGTATCCTGTAATTTATGATTTGACTTTGAAAAAATTAATAAATAATGATTACCTGTGGCTTGTAGATATCAACCAGTAGCTTTTGAACATATTCAAGATATTGGCAAACATCTGCATGCTTGGATTGATTGTAAGGTACCACTGGTAGTCCAATAATGACAGACTTTTTGTTCATGAATTCAGAGTACCTGAACACAATATACCAAAGCTCTTTTAATTTAAGTTAAATATCATTATCTTATCTCAAATAAATAACAAATAGACCACACCTAGCACATGACAAACTCTTGTATACCATCATTAAAGGAGCAAATTAAGTATAGTCTACGTACCAAGAAACTTGATATCGGAGCTCTTGCATGCGTGAAGCGCGCGCAGCGGAACACCATGGGTAAAAAAAATGTGGTAAACTACCCATTCAAAAAAACACGACGATACACCGACTGACCGACCAACCATCCGTCCGCACCACAGGCATGTCAATTTAAAATAATTCAATCAACAGGTATGGCAACCCAAATGCAACTCAAGGTTTTATTTGGAAAGAATCGCATGACTGCCCGGACTTTTAGAAAGAAAAAACAACAACAAAAAGTGGTGTCTTTTTCGACGTTATTTTTGATGTTTACACTCATGTGGATAACAGAGAAAGAGCTACAGCGAGTGATTGAAAACAAAAGAGACAAATTTTGTAGGAAGGAAAACATGAAAATTCAAAGTGGTTGTGAGAATGAGAAATGCTAGCAGCCAGCAAGGGGAAAATGACTGGCAGTGAAAAATAAAAGCAATCATGCATGAACACAGGAGACAAAATATTGGGTAAGCACATATTATATGACAATTTCTCCATAAAAATAATGTGTAACTAGGAAGTTTGACGGTTTAGTCCTACAAAACAGCGTTGTAGTTGTGCAAAACAACGGCAAAGAAAGCCAAAAAGCGTGCTGCATGTGCAAATTTGTGCTTTTGCTAATTAGAAAAAAAGTGTGCTGCACGTGCAATTTGTTTCTTTGCTAATTAGATCTATTGATCTTGATGCCATTTTCATTGCCCTCCCCGTTTAGCATTACATGATTTAATTTTTCGCTTCGCTTTTAGCCCTGGCTAAATCTATATATATTAAAACTACAAGGCATTGTCTTGACCATTTCCTTTTTATGCTTGAGGAACAAAGGGAAATCAAAGATGTCTATGGCCAAGAGTAAGACGGCAGACCAGTGTGGGATTGTATAACCTTTTTGGGCTTGTTTGGCTTGTTTTAAACTAAATACATGTATAGCATATCATAATTAATTATAGTTATGCTACCTGTGTTGGATATGCTTTGGTATGGCAGATTTGAGAGGCTCCATGAATTCAAAGAATTCAACAAGAATACAGGCCACTAAGACGATGAAATCATTTCGCAACTTCTCAAGTTCACTTTGACACAGAAGGTACTCAATATTCTCAAATCGTGTGCCATCAGATATAGGTTTGGAATCATCGAGGTGATCAGAGGGTACTCTGTCGAATGTTACATAATGAGCAATCCAATGCATATCTGAGTGGCGGTGATTCTGCAGTATGATGTTAACCGCCAATACCTTGAAGTCCAGATTATCAAAGAATAACCTGGGTATACACATCCAGCTGACACATGCCTTCTTATAGTGACTGTTAATTTAAAAAATGAAGAACAAAGCGTTTTAATTGAACTTCTTTTAGACAGCTTATGAAGTTCTATGCATTTTATTGTATAGACCTAGATTGAAATATTAAAAAGGAAGAAAATAAGTTTCATTATTAACTTTTCTTTAAGGACTGATCCTTGCCACTTGACAGATTCTCTCCTTTTTAACACACAATACATTTTAATTACAGATTTTTTTTTAATTGTTCCAGATCGAGTTTCTAAAGTAAAACATGTATTCAAATTGTTTACTTTATTTTCAAATTTAAGACTGACTTACTAGCATATAGTAAATAATGAAAAACTAGTAACATGTAAATTCAAGAGGGTTAATTATTATTACTTAACATATTTAATATGTTCATTTACCTGTTAAGTCAGACCCAATGTCATCCATGATGCCCCTGTAGGTTTCCCTGGTCATTGTTACACCTGCTCTGTTAAGCCTCTTCATTGTCTGCAGAATATTAAAATACAAATTACCAGATCTGCATTTGTCTTTGGCAAGATTCACTACAGATAAAATTTAACCAACCAAAAATAAACTATAATTAATGCTCCTTAAAGCCCCGGTATGGCTGCAATAATGCACATGAAAGCAGAGTTAATTGTGATACATTAAATACCCTTTCAGTGGCATGTCCAGTATTGAGCAATATACTGTTTATCTTCTGTATCAAGCTTAGTTCTTTCCACCGGGTAAACATTAGTATGCCATATGCAGTACAAAGTGGGGCAATCCAGTGCTTTGCACTGTCTTCATGAGCTGTGACATTTGGAATTGCTACAGCAGCTAGGACATCCAGTACATCAGGGACACGCTCCTTCATTTCTGTGATAACCTTTTCCCAGGAGAAATTCTTCAACTCCTATTTAGAAATCAATTTGAATTAGATTAACAGTCAGTTTTTTCTAGAACATAGAATTATACATTTGTATGTTATCATGTTATTTCCCTTAATTAAAAAATGCATCATAATTTATTTATTTTTTATTTAGGGTTCCAAAAGATTATTTTGATTAAATTCCAATTTCAAGTGAATTTTAAATTTTATTGGTTATAAAAAAATTACAATACCTGAGTGCATTTTACTTTCTACACTAGCCCTTAACCATAAGGTTTTTAGTAATTACCCCTGTAATTACCATATGCTTGGAAGGTGGAGTACGAAGTACAGATGAATTCTCAGCACTCCTGTTGCAAAGTTTCTGACACTGTTCATTCACATCGTTCAAGAACAAACACTTAACTGCATTTCTTAAAGGTCGGCATTGCATGATTATCTCAGCAATCTGATGGGTTGTGCATCCAGTCAACATCAGTGTGGCCAACGTGTCAACAGTTTTGGTTCCTTCCTCCAAAAGTGGCTCATCTTTGAGCTAATATAAATTTTAAAAAGCCAGAAAGAAAAATATATTAAAGTTAATTTCTCTATTAATTTTATCATTTATTTAGTTAGTTTCTTTTTGGGTGAAGGGCAGTCAAGATTGAGTTCCATAAAATTACAGACATTCAGTAACTGTTTATTGTCTTTATCTATAAGGAATGTATTACACATAATTTGATACCACTTTTTACTTGATTAAAAAAGAAAAGTAGAGCTTACTGGTTACTTACATTTTTGGCTTGAATGTTTACATCAAACACAACAGGATGGTCTCTAAATTAAGGTCATCTGAAACTCAACAACTCAACCATTATGCAATTAGATTATACAAGAGAGAAAAAAAAACATTTAAGTACAACCCAACAAGCATTTTTTTATATTATTTATTATAATTCAAAGACCAATGCCCGCTTGACAACAAATGCCTGACCTCCAGTGTAATCTACAACGCACAAGTGACTACAAACAACGCAACCAAGAACTATATCGGACTGACAGAAGGGACGTTTAAACAAAGATTTTCACAACACAAAGTGACATTTAAACACAGGAAATACACGAACAGCACCGAACTCTCCAAATACATCTGGAAACTACGTGACAATAATCAAGACTTCAACATCAAATGGACTATAATCAGCCGTGCAAGACCCTACAACAACATTTCTAAATGATGCGACCTATGCTTAACAGAGAAACTAATGATCATTACTGCAAACCCCGACAGAATCCTAAATAAAAGATCAGAACTGATTTCCAAGTCCCGCCACGAAAACAAGTTTTACCTTAGGAACAATTGACTCAAAAACAACACTCTATTAGTTTTTCCTCACACCTAATGGAATTAGAACCGCACTGCCCTGCTTTTTGTAATCAATAGACGCGTGTATATATACAACTTGATAGGTTTATTCTCCATTAAATACTGTCTGATGAGTGCGTGAGCACGAAACTCGGAGTAACAGAGAATTTTGTCTCTTCGTTATATCTTCTTAATTCAAGCTAATAATCTATATTATAATTGCTTTATAAATACAGATAAGTATCTCTTTGACAGCTAATGTAAGACACTTAGCATGACATAAGCTTGATTAAAAATTAGGGTATATTATTTTGTAGTCTCGTACAGAGATCAGGATGCAATTTCTCCTCACCTTGCATGTATCAGTATCATGTATCACGTATCATTGATCATGCATGTAAGAAAAAAATTTTTTTCTCACATACATGATCTGATACATGCAAGGTGAGGAGATATTGCATCCTGATCTCTGTACGAGACTACAAAATAATACACCCTAATTTTTAATCAAGCTTATGTCATGCTAAGTGGCTTACATTAGCTATCAAAGAGATACTTATCTGTATTTATAAAGCAAATATAATATAGGTTATATTATTAGCTTGAAACACACAATTAACGTTATAATAAATATTATAAAAAAATGCTTGTTGGGTTACTTAAATGTTTTTTTCTCTCTTTTATAATCTAATTGCATAATGGTTGAGTTGTTGAGATTCGGATGACCTTAATTTAGAGACCATCCTGTTGTGTTTGAAGTAAACATTCAAGCCAAAAATGTAAGTAACCAGTAAGCTCTACTTTTCTTTTTTAATCAGCTATTATGTGTAATAGTCATTCCCTATAGATGAAGACAATAAACAGTTACTGAATGTCTGTAATTTTATGGAACTCAATTTTGACTGCCCTTCATCCAAAAAGAAACTAAATTAATAAATAAATAATACAATTAATAGTGAAATTAACTTTAATATATTTTTCTTTCTGGCTTTTTAAAATTTATATCAGCTCAAAGATGAGCCACTTTTGGAGGAGGGAACCAAAACTGTTGACATGTTGGCCACACTGATGTTGACTGGATCCACAACCCATCAGATCCGGCTGAGATAATCACGCAATGCCTACCTTTAAGAAATGCAGTTATATAACAAGTGTTTGTTCTTGAACGATGTGAATGAACAGTGTCAGAAACTTTGCAACAGGAGTGCTGAGAATTCATCTGTACTTCGTACTCCACCTTCCAAGCACAAGGTAATTACTAACAACCTTATGGTTAAGGGCTAGTGTAGAAAGTAAAATGCTTTCAGGTATTGTAATTAACCAATAAAATTTAAAATTCACTTGAAATTGGAATTTGATCAAAATAATCTTTTGGAACCCTAAATAAAAATAAATAAATATGATGCATTTTTTAATTAAGGGAAATAAAATGATAACATACAAATGTATAATTTTATGTTCTAGAAAAACCTGTTAATCTAATTCAAGTTGATTTCTAAATAGGAGTTAAAGAATTTCTCCTGGGAAAAAGTTATCACAGAAATGAAGGAGTGTGCATGTCCCTGATGTACTGGATGTCATAGCTGCTGTAGCAATTCCAAATGTCACAGCTCATGAAGACAGTGCAAAGCAGATTGCCCCACTTTGTACTGTGTATGGCATACTAATGTTTACCCGGTGGAAAGAACTA